AGATGATTTATCAAAATAAATACAAAGTTCTATTATATGTTCTGTTCTGTTATTATTTCTCGAAAATAAAAAGACCTGGGAACGAGGTAAGCAACCACAGCTACCAAGCTACCTCGTTACCAAGGCCTTTCTTCCCAGAGGACACCTTAGAGTTAGGTGAAAAGTTCAAGTTGACATGTGGTGAGGTTTATTCTGTTATTTTTTTTGCCTACAAAACTTGATTATCTTATACCAATAGGACCAATAGTATTGAAGATATCACAATTTGAGCGTTCTGTACAAAAAGGAATGATAAGTTACATCTCTGTCGTAGCTTAAAAAATGTGCAACCTCTGACCTCAGCTCGACAGCAGTGCCAGTATCTCGGTCTTGTTTTCTGTTGTGCGACAAGTTTTTATGTTATATAACTAAAAAGATCACCTTTATTTTCATTTTATACTTTTTGCTTTTCTTTGAAACTTCAAACAGATTATTTTACCCATTTGCGGATTACTGCGTTCTTGAATGTCATCTGACGCGATGCAACATGGCGAGCTCGAGTAGTGAAGCGTTCTACAATCTTAGCAATAATGGTGAGCTGTTAACTAACAACCAACACAAAGAAAGTATGGTGCGTGTTTTTCCATTATTTGAAGTGTGTGTGTACACGATACTCAACTTAGATGTAATAATGATGTGCATGACATGTGGCGGTAGTCTTTTTATAAAGAAAGTATCCATGGGGGTGCTCGACGTGCGTTGTAGTCGTAGCCTGCGGCATGAGAGTGCATGCTACACTGCATTGGGGTGATAAGGCAGCATTTGATAAACTTGGTACAATTCTCCAAACGTATGTTATGTCTAGTAATGTCGTAGCGAAACATTTATGCACCTATATTAATGTCACGGGCTATTGAAAATAAAAAGTCACGTGACTGGGGCAACTTGACTTTTGTTGAAACAGGGTTCCCCCCGGATAGGTTTTTTTGACATTTTGACGGAATTAAAGACGGGAAGAGGTTGTGAAGAAGGTAAGATTCTTCAAGTATTTAAATAATGCCACCATGTGTAAAAGAATCTTGACACACAATTATGATCAATGGATTTTCACAAAATCTATCACACCCTGTGTTTTTAATTAATGTAACTGGAACAATCTAATGAAATATAGTTGAGGCTTTGAGAAAGTTTCTGATAGACTAAAAATATTTGTATTTGACAAATATTGCAATGAACATAAACCCCCAGAATGGGGACTATTGACAAAAAATTATGAAAAATGTTAATAGCCCCTGGGTATGCCTGCACTCCCCCCATTGGGGTAAGACATTGATGCATTATTAATCTATTTTCACTTTTTATGTGATCGCAAAGCCATTCATTTAAAAATGTGGTATCTGTGATCTCATCGGAATGCATTTCTAAGCATCAGAAGCAAGCGCATGTGCAGATTGCATGGAGCTTCAAGTAGTATGGTTACGAAACTGAATCACTGACCTTTCTAGCTTTTGATGCATCTTGAGTGGTCAAAGATTTAATGGATTTTACTTATAATATAGAAATGGGACACCTAATGTATGTCCATTTTTGCACAATAACGAAACTTTTTTAATCTGCAAATTTAGCTAGTGAACAATGTAGTGAACAAAACTTTTTAAATGGATTCAGTCTGATATCACATACAAACGATTCCCTCATCATGCGAATGAAGCCTAACTTGTATTTGTCCAGAAAGTTTTGGATTCATGTCTTGCAACTGTGGGAACTTAAAAACTGAGTTAAGAATTGTGTCAAAAAACTAGATTAAAAAATGTTTTGCCTCATTATGTTTTTTTATATTCATTTATTTGTAATAATTTGATAAATTGAAATGTTGTGATTCACAATTTAATGTAGCTTAACGCTTTGCATTGATATTCGTTACGCACTATATTATGACTACAGTTACGGTTACAATCCAATTACAATCATAAATGAAATTACAATAAATATCTATAAACAAAATATACAAAAAAAACTAAGCGATATACTTATGTGGCATCTTCTACACTTACAATAACTGAAGAAATTTACATATGGAACTAAACAAAACTAAGAACAAATTACACAAGGGACTAGCAAACAAAGATGCGTAATAAACCGAAACAAAAAAGGCAAAAGAATAATTTCAAAGGACTAAACTAAGTATATTAAACTAGGAATAAGTGATTGCTACATGAAATAAGACCATCGGACATTCTCTACCTACATCCTTCCCACTTTCCCAACAGAAAATCGAATGCTCTGGCTGGAGACGAGTGAGTCTTTGATTTGATTGGTTAAAAAATTTCCATGCTTCATCAGTATATATGTATGACCCAGTATCGTCTCCAGCCAGAACTGAGAAGAATTTGGGTTCATGCTTTTACTTTCTGTATTTTAGTCATCCTTTTGCTTCCAACATCTCTATGTCCTTTTCTCTACCTTGCCTTTTCCCTCATTCTCTTTTGTATTGACTTCTTAACTTACTTCACTTTTCTCCACCTCCCTTGTCCCTTTCCTTGTTCTCTCTCTCTTCCTTAAGTTCCCTCTTACACTTCTTTCTTTCCTCTTTCTCTCTCTTGTCCCTTTTCTCCTCCTCCTCTTGCATTTCCTTTGATTCCCTCTCAAGCTCCTCTCTTTCCTTTATCTCTCTCTTGGCCATTGCTTCCTTTTCTTGCATTTCCTTGGTTTCCCTCTCAGGCTGTTTCCTCTCTCTACGTATTTTCTGTCCTTTCCTTATTTTTTCATTTCTTCCCTCAGCCATGGCTTGCATTTCATTTGCCTCCCAATTATTGTCACTCTCTTCTAATCCTCTCTCTTCCTTATGGCCTCCCTCTCTCTTATCCATCTCTCTGTCCTTCCTCTCACAACTCTTTCTTTCTCCCTTTCTTTCTTGCATCTCTCTTTCCTTCCAATCTTCCTTTTCCCATAGCTCCATGTCCTGATTTCTCAATAGCTTCGTATCCTGCTCTCCTGGCTCACTGCCTTTCTTTGTTTCTCTCATTTGCTTCTCTTCTATTTCTTCTGTAGAGAGCAAAGGAAATTCACAGTAAGTTAATGTGGTTGTCTAACCGCTATAAAGTAGTAAGCAAAGAAAGTGCATGATTAAGTACTAAAAGAATATACCTTTGGGGCGATCACTGGACACTCCTAGATCCTCTCCTGTTTCCTCGATTTTTTCCTCAACTTGTTTGTTCTGTAAGAGAAATAGTGTTAATTTAGGCACACCATCTTTTTAAAGGTTGGCTAAAATGAAGACCTTGTGTTACACAAATACTGCTCTCAGATCTTGCATTACAACCCAAATGAAAATTTCATAACATGCAATATTTACCAGTATTTCCGTGCCACACTTTGCCAACAACTCTGTTTCCAACCGTTGTATTTCTAGTGAATAAATGCTCAATCTCTCCTCCAGACATTCTTTTTCTTTTACATGATTGGCTAATCTCTCTTCCTCCAGGCGTTGTTCTTCCTTTGCATGATTGGCTAATCTCTCTTCCTCCAGGCGTTGTTCTTCCTTTGCATGATTGGCTAATCTCTCTTCCTCCAGGCGTTGTTCTTCCTTTGCATGATTGGC